ACTTAAATATACAAATGAATAATTTATTATGCAATAATAATTGTAAAAGTGACTGGAAATGCCTACCAATTTTTACCAATTTATTCCCCCCTTAATCCTTTTTATAAAGGTGTTATAAACAATAATGTGGAAATAAACTAAGAAATAAATAATTTATTAATAATAATTTCCATTTGATTGACATAAATAATGTAATAAAGATGTTTTTGATAAGAGATAGGTATTACCTATCTAAGTACCTATAGTTTAGGAGTTGTACCTTATTATTTATACCACTAAAATATATTATATACAAGACATATATATATATATAATATATATATATATATATATATACTATATGTTATATATATACTGCCTTCTCATCAGATTTTAACAACCAGCACCCAAGAGTTTTTGCCATGCAAAATTATAAATCAAGTTTATAAATGCATATTTTTGAGAAATTCTAAAGCTACTCATACCAAGAATTATAACGAATGCTCTAGAAAGAAGACAAAAATTTTGTTGTTTATTAATGTGATGAAAAATTAATAAATAATCGTTTATTTATTTTAATTTTATTGGATTATACTTAATAATATAATTGTGTTTTGTTGTGTTATTAAAAAAAATTTGTGTAAGTACACAAAATTTAGTCCTTTTTCCTTTACAGTCTATCTATAGTCCACTGCTGAACATAAACATGAACATAGTTATTTGCCATAGTTGCAACGCTTGGCAAGCGGGTTGGCAACCATGGTTTTTTTAATGCTGCCGTTAATCTTCTTAGTTTTATTCTTGTGTTTATTTTAAGTTTTCATCAGGAAAGTGCTGCTGCCCCATCCCCATCTTGTATTATTGCTTACGACGCGGGGTAGTATCATCCCGTGTATAGGCAAATTCTCTTGTATGCCACAACTTGCTGCACACAAGCCACTAACCTTAGTAAGACATGCAGGAAATCGCGGAAGTTGGCTCAGAACCGTGTTTTGTACTACAAAACCTAATTGGAAACCTTTTCCTTTCGGAGGTCTGTGTTCAGCACTGAACTTGTGATGGACTCGTATGTTAAAACATTATTGAATTTTAACAACATAAAATTCGACACGAGGAAAGTTTTGATAATTAATTACCTAATATTTAAGTACATATTTTACATACTCCTACTTATTAGCGGTATCACACTTTGTGCTAGTAGCGTTTTCACTTAGTGCCGTCGAAATCCAAAGAGTTTATTAAATGTAGGCGGAAACGACGTAAAAACAGAATCATAATTCGGAATGATGATTCTGTTTTTACGTCGTTTCCGCCCGTAGTTTTTAGTCACAGAATGTATTTTCAAGATAAATGAATTAATCATCTGAATTATAAAAGAACATTTTTTTTATGGTAACAAATAAGTTTTTTGTATGAATTAAGTGCTGTGAATATAAATAAACCTAGATTGGGGGAAATGGAATAATATCTGCTAACCCAGGGAAAGTACCTCCCGCCTATTTCTATCTCAAAAGCATACGCGAATGCTTTATCTAGTCAATCCTCTATCTACGAGTTACAACCGACATTGACAGGATAACTGGTAGGGATAGGCAAAGGGAAAAATATATCGATATATATCGAATCTATATTTTTAAACAGTATCGATTTATATCGCGTGATAAATATCGATATATCGATATATCGTCATCATTTGAATAATGTAAAGATAAGGTCCAAAATTTTATTTACTGACAGTTGGACGACGAAAAACACGATACAACATTTTAAAATATATCGAAATTGATACGAATTCGGTACTCTAAAATAAATATCGATATGTCGATATATCGCGATTTAAAATATCGACGATATTTAGCAATATTTTTATTAAAAAATATCGATATTTCGATATATCGATATTTTTTGCCCAAGCCTAATAACCGGTGTATCAATACCATATACAGATTTATATTCAATTTTAAAGCAACGGTTAAAAGAAGAATGGAAAATGCAACGGAATGCTGTTTTACAGTCAGGAATAGGTCGTTGGTATGCATCAACTAATTCAGAATTAAGTATTCCTTGGTATTCTCGCAACGAGAGATATCATAGCAGAAAATTTTATACAATAATGTGCAGACTTAAATTTGGCCACTATCCACTGAACGCTCATCTTTCCAGGATGCGAATAGTAGCATCTGCAACATGCAACTTCTGCGATACAGAAGTAGATCAGACTGCAGAACATTTAGATTTAGATTAACTGCCCAGCGTACGCCATAGAAAGATTGCTACTCATTGAAAAACTTATATAAGTTTATGAAAACTCAGAAAACGTCCCGCGTGCCCTGCAAGATGTTCTTAGGAATACTAAGACATATTTAGCACTTTGCAATTTTATTCATAATACTGTAAAAGAAATATGAAATATGGTATCCCTGTTTTTGAAAATATTGGATTGACAAATCTACATGGATTGAAAGTTACAAAGAATATAATATAAAGAAGAATTGGATTTAGAATTTACGATTTTTGAAAATATGAAGAATTAAAGAAAATATGACTTGATTCCAGTCTTTACATTCTAAAATTCTATATATTCAAAATAACAAAGGCAAGGCTGTATGGCTTAGTTCCTTTGCCTGCTTTCTCGAGCGAATAATAAAAACAACAACAACAAATCAGTCAGATAAATAGGTACAGAATATTATTATATTGAGTGTATAATTAGACTCAGTATAATAATTATATTTCTATGACTAAGTATTATTGTAAACAGAATTTATGTAGCAATATTTTAAAAATAATGAAACAATAAGTTTTTTAAATCTATATGAGTGTTGATTTAGAAGAAGCGAACGAAACTCAAAAACTTATGCAAAATGAAAGTCAAGAACAAAAAAACATACCACAAATGGCTGGGTCTCCGGTCACAAGTATTAAATTATCTAGTGAAGCAGCAAGTCTCACTTCGAGAAATCATGGACCTGGGCAGTTGTTCACTAGCACTGGGAACAATGGTGTGAATGAATCTGCCAAATTGTCATATGTTAATGAAAGAAGGTTACATCGTGATTTCGTTCGTTCGAATTATAATACTAAACCTAAACATATTCCAAAAGAGACCCCAGATGTTAAACATATGGAAAAAGCACTGCTTGAGTTGCTTGATGATTTCCATACAGGAAAGTTAAGCGCATTTGGTTCTGGTTGCAGTATGGAACAAATGATTAATATAAGAGATCAGCAAGAACACTTAGCAAGGTTACATTTTCGTTTATATGGTGATGCTGAGAAACCCACTGAAGATAACTTTGACAATTCTGACTCTAAAGACAAAATGGCCCAATTAGTACAAAGTTTGGAACAACTGTCTGCATCAATAGAACATTTACATTCCGATGGTAGTGTTAGCTCTAGTTGTAATGATAATAATAAATAATTATTAAAGTTGTTGTTATAAGTTATTTAAGTGTTAAGCTAGTAGATTAAAATACTACTGCTTAACTTCCAAAGAGAATAAAAATATTCTTAGTTCAAATTACAACACCTTTATAGATTAGCATAGTGTAAAGTACAGGTTACTTGTTATGCCCATAATCAGTTTTTCAAAATTTATATGTCGGTGCACCTATAAAATACCGGTTGCATCGAGAGTGAGCTAGAGGTAGGGATGGTCGATGTTTATCCTACTCAAAACATCAATGTTAAGAGTTGAGCCAGCTATTGAAAATAAAATTTTGTACAACTGACTTAAGGATAACTCAAAAACTATTGGTCAGACTTATATGGATCTAATTTATATGGGACCACATGTAAAGCAGCAAATTTCAAATAAAAAAAAACAATCATTGAAATCGGTTCACCCAGAAAAAAGTTATCGAGGTAACACACATTAAAAAAGAACATAAAGTGGAATTGAGTACCTCCTTTTTGAAGTCGGTGGATAACCATTCAGATGGTGCTGATGTAGCGATTGTGGTCAAATATCTCACCGCAAGTTTTCGTTTTTAATTTTAGAAGGTAGAACCGATAACATTGTTCTAAACATGCATCGGATCGTGTTTAAGATCAACCATCGGATATTTTTTTAAAACATCCGATAAAGAAACAGATAACCAACAACGACACCAATAACAAACGAAATCAGTGACAAATCCAACATTACAGTTGACACTTGACAGTTAAATTTGATACCCCATAATGATATATTTTTAGGTTATCGATGCGTTCAAGCATTCTGAATTATTTAAAATTTTAAATATTTTAGAGGAGATGCAAGATTTATTTAATATTGATTTCGTACATTCGCAAGTACCCAATAATCGATTATGGGTTTAATGACATCGATGTTTCGATGTTTGACATGTGGCAACATTGATGTTTTCGTTCTTGACATCGATGATCATAGAACAACGATGATCGACCATCCCTAGCTAGAGGTTGCATCATTAGCTGAGCATCATATTGATGGTGGCAAGGTGAAATTGAAGGTTTCTTGAGAAACTCCCCACTTGTTGGTGCAGTATAAAGTTCACTGTAGGCTTTGTGCCTAGCAGATTCCACCTAAGTTATTTTACAAGTGCTAAGATAGTATTATGGTTCTGCTTGTAGTGGTGGTTCTTCTGGTGCAGGCAAGGAGGATAGAGGATGCTCTGTGTTACAATGAGATGGGTAGTGTTGCTTTGTTGGTTTGCATAATTACACAAAAATATATATAAAACCACTAATTTTATGAATTTATTAAAATTAGAATTATCAAATGGGATATTAGTGATCCCTTTTATATGTGTAAACACAAAATAGTTGAAAAAAAACCTTAACTTATTTGCCATCTAAATGGAAAATGAGTAGGTTCTGAAATATTAATACTGGTCACAATAATATTTGATTAGATATAATTTTCACATCAACTTATATAGGTACATACATTTTTTCTTAATAAATAATAAAAATCAACACCTTCAGAGCCTTTGAATATTAATTTGAAAAAAGTACCAAACTATAAAACTAAGATCAAAGGTAATATTATTTTTTGTTTATGGAAAAATAAAATGATACCCAGGATCAATTAAATCCTCTCTACAAGTTGGGCATATTTGCCCATTAGCATTAAATGCTGTTTCAATGCATAACATGCAAAATATATGACCACAAAAAGTTGATACAGCAACAGAGTTAGCTAGATTATCCATGCAGATTGGGCAATTACCAAGATTTAATCGTGAGTATCCACATAATGTCATGTTTAACAGCTGTCCTGAATTTGCTTCTCTTTTACTATGACAGTTGTAAGGTTCATTTACAGAGGGGTTAGTTGGGTTGTTTTTGATGTCATGGTCTACAATATCAAGCAATATTTTCATTTTGAAACACAGGCTACATTTGTCAAATGTTCCATCTCTAATTGCATCATACAAAACTTCATTGATTGCTTTTGAAACCAATCGTTCACTTTCCTCAGAATTTGCAGGAAAATTTGGAGAGTCAAAACCATACCTACGTAAACAGTCACCAAAACGTTTTTTAATGGTATTATTATCTCTGGAAGTGCTAGGCAAAGGTAAATTGTAATATTCATTAATTACAGTTTGAGTACTATCTGCACTATCACAACTATCACGGCTCATTCTATGGTGTCTCCTACTAGTCCCAGTGCTGTTGACATGTTCATTTTCATCAATGGTTAAGTCTATTGTCTTCATTTCAGCAGGTTTTTGACAATCAATGATATTTGAAATATTGTGATTTGTTTTGCAGGTTTTACAAAGTATGCTTACAGATAATGATTTATTATGAAAAGCTTTTTTAATCTGAGAGTTCGAATTTTGGTTTACAGGGTCAAGCTCAGGAGTTGTGTTGTCGTTTGGAGTCGAGCTTTCATTTAACATTATATTATTTTCGTTTATAGTTTCGTCCATTGATGATAGCATGTCATTTGCATTGCTTTTTTGAATTAGATGAGATTTTTCACCTTTCTCTGAAGTTACTGATGTTGTCAATGGCAGCTGCTGGCTGTTTTCAGAATCTTCAAACATTTTTTCTAAATCAGCAAGTGATGGCATCAAATGTTCCCTTATAATATTTGGTTTAGGTGTTGTATTAATTTCTTTCTCTAATAATGATCGAGTATTGTTTTCTGAAGAATCATCAAATGAGGACGTATTCGTAGACTTTGCAGGTTTATTCTCCTGATTGTACTTACTTATGAATTTTCTTGTGGAGGTGGAACCCACACCGGCTTTTTTCGTATAGCCTGCATTTTGAGGTGACGAATACCTTTTCCGCGTATCTTTTAGTTTAGGCATTTTAGAGACCACAAACTGTAGATTCACTACTTATCTCTCGTTAAGGAGTAGGTAGTATGTGGTAGTATATTACTTCACTAAATTATTATATTGGATTTGGAAGATTAAATTCAACAGATTCACTGGGTAATTAAAATTCTAAGAGCGTTTTTCATTCACTGATACCACGATATCGCTCGGTAGGGTTTTATTCATAGATTTAGAATAAACTTGGTTCTATTAGTAGTAGTATGTGGTAGTATATTACTTCACTAAATTATTATATTGGATTTGGAAGATTAAATTCAACAGATTCACTGGGTAATTAAAATTCTAAGAGCGTTTTTCATTCACTGATACCACGATATCGCTCGGTAGAGAGTTTTATTCATAGATTTAGAATAAACTTGGTTCTATTAGTATTTTCTATAGTTCTATAGCTCTCGTCGATCGCCGTTAGAAAACAAATTATTGAAATGTGTTTCATCTTGTTTACTGTATTGATTATAGGGATGGGTCAACCCTAGGGATATTCGATATACATCGATGCATCGAATTCATTCGATGTTTACAATACGATGCATCGAATCGATCCGATGTTTTGAAAAGCTATTGATATACTCGATGTATCGATGTATTTTCATAAAACATCGAATCAATGATAACCAGTCAATTGTAAACAGGTATACTTATCTATCACTATTAATATTATAACTTTTAAATCAGAAAAACTAAAACATGCTCTGATTTAGAAGTTATAATATCTAAACCTGTTGGTGGCGCTAGTTGGCGGCTGTCAGTCCGCCAAAAAAAAGAGCCAAGGCTATATTTACCGATTCATTTATATTTTGATAAAACTAGCGCCATTCTCAACGCGTGTGTCCAGCGAGACGTACATCGCTGTTCGTCCTACATTGCTCTGCGGCACGAAAGTGAGAAGCCGCCTTAAGACCATTTAACCTCAGACTCATCTCGCATAATTATTCCCCTCTGCCAAGGTATTGCATTTAAAAGCTTGTGCGTTTATAAAAACTGCTTACTAAATCGATTTTATTATTACAAGAATCGTTTCCGCCGAAGTAGGTGCTCTTTAAAAAATACCGATCGGTGCGATCATAAAGCAGTCAAAATACTTAAAATTTACAAAAATGGAGTTATATTCCATATGTAAGTATTTTTATTGTAATGCATGCTTTTTTTTCTATTAAAATCATTTAAAATAATATCGTAAACATTTTAATAATTTAAAAGTAATATTTTGTTTAGATACAACATACGTAGTATTTAAATTTAATTCATATTAATTGTAAAAACAAAAAATCAAACCGATAATTTTGGCTAGAAGATGCATAAGATGAAAATAGCTCCTGGTTGTAGTTGAAAGGCTGCTAAATTGTCGCAAGTAAGATTATATATATATACGTTTTTATAGGTTGACTCGGGACACATTTTTCGTGAATTTTGTTCTAGAGCCGCCATCTATTTAGTAGTAGCTACAATGACTAATGATCATTCATAATAATTTATTTATTCTTTATTGCATTCCTTAATATAAAATAATACAAAGGGCGAACTGCAAATGTGTAGCAGAATAGAATTAAAACAAAATAAAAAATAAATAACTAAGATATATATAAATTTTACTAATATATAAAATAAATAAATACAAATATAAATAGTATATATAATTGACTGGGAGAGAATGCCTTAAGGCATTTAGTCCGTCATATATACGAATTTTCTTTTGTGCATAAAAGTAAAAAAAAACAATAAATATATAAATATAAATAACTATAAATATATACGTCTGTTAATAATAATATTCTTAAGATTAAGATACTTTGTGTTTCGTGCAATAAAGAATATCTATCTAACTGTCTTACATCCTTGAACACTCACATACACACACTCACGCACAAACACACACACAACGCGTGCGGACAAAGACAGTGCCGATGTAAGAGTAGATCATTCAAAATTGTCGATTGTTTGAATGGGGATGTCAGGAAGTTGACTACAGATTTATAATGTAAAGTCATAAAAAGTACTCGATGTTGCAAAAACATCGAAGTATTTTCAAAGTGGACACCCCTAGTCAACCCGACTTACTAATTCCGGTGTATCTCTTTGTAAGGTAGATATATAGTCTTTGGGTGTAGCTGCGCCTAAGCCAGTGAATGACTCCGAAGAACGAACGTTAAATATTTTGAATAAAACTGTGTGTCGTATACCAAACAACACATACGAAGCTGGTTTGTTATGGCCTACGGATGACGAATGGATGCCGTCGAATAAGGCGCAGGCTGCAAGTCCCCTGATTAATATCGAAAGGAAGCTTGATAAAAATATCGAATTAAAAAAGGATCTTATACGTGGTAGAGCCATGCTGCAACTATATTATGCTTGTAGCACGAATGGGTCGGCTCGACCGGGGAAGGACCACGCTCTCACAGAATACCAGCGTCAAATAACAGCTTAACGCTGCTGTGTTTCGTATGGTGAGTGTAGAGAACCGGAGACCCTTTTTACTGGAAACGAGGCTTTCCATCTTAGTCCTCATGAGTGACAACGCATCTGCATTTTCATTCGTAATTGAAGATAGGTGTAGATGTCTATGGGCCACAGCAACCACTTACCATCAGGTGAACTGTGTGCTCGTTTGTCATCCTTATCCTATAAAAAAATAGGAATATGAAAAGCAAGTCGAGGCTCTTATTGTTAACGGTTACGCAGAGAAAGCGAACCATATTTCCATTTCCCCACGTACGTGGTATCTTCCTCATTTTGCGGTGACGCATCCGCAAAAGAAAAAAATAAGACTTGTTTTCGACGCAGACGGCAGGACAGCGGACGTTGCGGATTATTCGGCGTGCTGCTACGCTTCAGAGAAGGAAGCGTGGCAATAATAGTAGATATTCAAGAGATGTTCTTTCAAGTGAAAATGTGCGAGGAAGACAGGGACAGTCTCTGATTTCTGTGGCGGCACAATCGTGATTTGTATTCGGAGCCGCGTCATCTCCGTGCACCGCTATTTATGTGAAAAATAGAAATGCGCAAGATAGCGCACATCTCTATCCAGAAGTAGCTTCGGCAACGGAAAGCAATTTTTATATGGATGACTATCTACAGGAATTTCCCGACGTGACGACGGCAGAAAGAGAAATTACATAAGCATGCGTTATTCAACCTGAAAAAAAAGAGTCGTTAAATTTACCCGACTAAGGACGATTTAGCAGTTTTAGAAAAATCCTTGGGACAACTGTGCGCACCTTACAAACAATAGAAAATTTTAAAATATTAGGAAAATCGGTTAAAGGACCCGCCAATCCGCCAGAAAAAACGGTTATATGTTTCGATGTTTCGACGATTTATTAACAAAGTCGGTTAAAGGATCCGACGATGCGTTGGAAATAGCACTTTTAAAAAGGCAGAATTGTTTATTTGGAGGTTTTTTTTTTTGGAGTTTATGGCCTGGTATCTAGACCTTTAGGCCAAGTCTTAAGTATTTTTATTCGGTTTATTGTAATTTCCCCACTCCTTCATAGTATACTGCTTCACAATATGTTGATGCGTCACATTGTGCAGTTCTTGGGAGATTTTGGCGGCAACTTGATCCAGCAGACAGCTGATAGTTGGCGATGGTATCTAAAGGTGCCTATGCAAACAAACAGCTTATCTTGAGAATCCATCACCATCAGAGCACTTGTTTCACTGTTTCCACTAATAGTTCACATGCGTAGACACTTAATACACAAAATCGCAACACTTTTACATATCAAAGTCCACTTCAAACCATTATTTAAACAATAATACAGGAGCAGCAAACCGCCGCCGGTCAATTTCCCGCCAAAACTCCCTTATTTGGAGGTTCGTTCAAGATGAGTGTTTCCATACGGAAGTAAACTGCTTAAAAGCGGGGAGAAGCATTGAAAGAACTTCACGTTTAAGCAAATTGGATTTAGAACTAGGAGAAGATAACCTTCTTCGTTGGAACGGACGTTTACCTTTTAAGTCTAATTTGACAGAGGAGAGTAGAAAACCTGTCATTTTAGACGGTAAACATGAAATCGTTAAAATGATTATTAGAGAAGTTCATCATCATTTCGGACATGCCAAACACCAAACGGTGATGAATGAGGTAAACCAGAAATTTTATGTATTTAATTTACATAATACAGTTCGTAGTGTACCACGCAACTGTCAGTGGTGCAAAATATATAAAGCCAAAGCCCAACGTCACCCAATGCTCACCATTAGCCACCAGTAGATTATTTCGCACCTATGAGTGTGTCTGTAGAAAGGCGACACGAGAAACATTGGGGTGTTTCATTTACGTGTCTGACTACCAGAGCAGTACATCTGGAGTTAGGTACATCATTAACACCAGCGTCAATGATAATGGCGTTAAGGCGATTTATCGCCAGAAGAGTAAAACAAACCATTTTGTATGGTGATAACGGAACGAATTTCAAAGCGGCGAATAAAGAATTAGCTTAAGCATGGATGGAAAGATGAGTCATGTAAAAAATATATTATTTGGAAATTCATGGAAATTCATACCAGCCGGAGCACCGCATATGGGGGATGCTTGGGAAAGGATGAAAAGATCGATTAAGACTGCGTTGACCGCAATGCTCAAAGAAAGAAGTCCACGAGAGGAAGTTTTGCATACATTGCTCTTGGAAGCAGAGCACACAGTAAATTCGAGACCTTTAGTCACGGTTAATATGCATAGTCTTGAAGAGGGTTTGACAACCAATCATTTTCTTCTCGGGTGCTCATGTGGAGATCGTCCACCTGGGTTATTTATGGAGCGGCATTTGACAGGCCAACCCAGCTGGAATACTACTCAGAGGTTAGCTGACCATTTTTGAACGAGATGGTTGAAGGAATACATGCCTACTCTGACCTCGAACAGACGATAACGGAAGGTTTATAGAACCGAAAGAGGGCAACATTGTCTTGATAATAGATCATTCGTTACCACGTAATAAACGGCCGCGAGCCAAGATCCATAGGAT